CGTTCCTGAAAACTAGGCCCAACTGCCCCCCTGACTTGGGGGGGCAGCAGTGGGTTTCATGGCAGAAGTTTCCCTTCCTCTTCGGGAGGAGGAGCAGCTCTTGAGCCAAGGTGGGGGGAAGCGGGCCTCTTTTGGCTCGGAGACACCTTCTTTTCGTTGGGGGGGCTGGCCGGGGGAGCTGCGTCCCTCCCCTCCTTTCCTGTGGAGACAGGAGATGGGCGGAAGCAGTCTTTGGCTGGCACCGGAGGATCAGCTGCTGCTGTGCTTTTGCCCCAGAGGGTGCAGGATGGCCATCGGCGCACCTGTCCGGGGGTTTTAGGGAAGAGTGCCGAACACAGGCGGAAGAGCTTTATCGGGGGGGCACCTGTAGAACCACTCCCCCCCCCTTTCCCCACCGTCCTCTGATCCAACGGGACAGGAGAACCCCAGCCCAACCACTGCTCTGCTGCCATTCCGCCCTGCCCCACAGCCAGGTCTGGCTGGGTTGGGGAGGGAGAGGGAGAGGGGCGGCTTTTGGGCACAGGAGGAGAGCCCTGACCCGCCTGCCAACAAAAGGTGAATGGCCCTGAAAATCAGGCCCCCACCCCAAGCAGGGACCAGAGGCAGCAAGGCAGGCCCCCACCCCGAGCTTAAATCCAGCATGAGGTGGAGCAGAGGGACGGCAAGTGCGCTTGTGCTGGGAGGAGGCAGGGGACGTTTGAGAAGGGGATCCGGGTCATCCTTCTATGTCCTTTAAGTAGAGTTGCTCTCTCCAGTCTGTGAGTAGCAGGTCTCGCGGGAGACGCGATCGTTAAACTGGTGATAATGGAGGTATATCAGTGCTGATTAACTCCCACAAATATGCATATCAGCTAAGCTGTACAAATACAGCTTCGTAAACCTGCGGCGTCCGGGTTCTAAAAACACCTACTTTGGAATTCTTTCAAAGATGCATAGTAAAAAACCTTCTCCAACGTGTAGTTTGAGTTTCATCAAATGCCCCCAACAGGCCAATCCGGTATGTTGGAAGGCAAGACCCACCAGGCGTCATTTCACGTGTGGCATTAACGGTTTTCCCAGCCAGGCTGCTTCTTCTGCAGCCAGGAGGAGCCCGGCTCGGCAAAGCCAACAGCTTTTGTCTGTGGTGTTTTGCTCTCTGGCGCGTAGCAAAATTTTCCAAAGCACCATGGATGCCGTTGCTACTGCGAAGGGGGATCTAGAGAGGAGGAGCTGGGCTCCAGTTGCTGAAAAGCAGGAAAAAGCATCATGCTGCTGAGCCTTTCCAGAGCCGTTCCACGCACAATCATGGGTCCTTCAGCCTCAGATGCTACATCAGCGCATCTGCCTTCTGCCCCCTGACGTGGGGTGGCAGAGGGGAAAGGGGGTCTCTCTGAGGACCCGCCTTGTGCCATTGTAAAGCAGCCTCGGCCTTGACTGACGGCTGTGGCAGGCGTAGGCAGTTTTTCCAGGACGGCCCACATCCGCTTTGGGGTAATCTGTAGGGAGGCTGCCTAGGGGGCTAGGTGGAACCCAAAGTGGTCAGGCCACCTGTTCTCTTTGTTGTCCCCTTTTCTCCCTCCTTCCAATCCCCCCCCCCCCAAGCAGACTGGGACAAGTTACTTTTCCTGAGGTCCGAACTGATGGCTTCAGAGGGCCACTTGCAAAGAGACTAAGGGCCACTGGTTGCCCACCTCCCTCCAGGGAACGGGGGCTGCGTGCCACTGGGATCCAAACCACAGGACTATCAACCTGACCCCACGTGGTGGCATGAAAGAAATCTGCAAGGGACCTGCATTCTCTTTCTTGGCCAGAGACAGCATCCCCAGAAAACGCTGTTGAAAATTGGGCCCAAGTTTGCTTTTTTTCTCTCTCTCAATCCCTTTTCTTTGTGTGTTGTGTTGCAGCCATTTTAGCTGATTCAGCTTTGTGGGAACATTCTACTGAAAAGCAGGGTAAAAATTGTGACCAGCAAAATGCAGCACGTCTCACACCTTAACAACGGCCTCTGTTGATGCTACTTCATGGAAGATGCAGGCTATGCATTAGGAAGACGTCAGATAACGGGGGGGGGGGGACGGACCCAGTTGGCACGTAGCGCGTTGAACATCGGTGCAGGACTTCATTAAACCATCCCCAAAACCCCCAGTAAGGGGGAGTCCACACTATTCCAAGCAAGCAGCTTAACCACTTAACTCGCAACCTGAGGGGATTCCTGCAAACATATTCAGCCTGAATAGGGTTCTTTTACATTCAACCCATTGGCCCTTGCCCGGCTCTCAGCTGCCAAGGGAGAGATCCGCTCTCTTTACTCACGTTGGCAGGTCCTCAGTGCCTTTTCTCTTCTGCAAGTTAAGTCATGCCCAGCTCTTTGAACTGTTTCTCACACAACTTAGTTTCTAGATCAGTGTATCTGAACCTTGGTGACTTTAAGATGAGTGGACTTCAACCCCCAGAATTCCCCA